TATAAATGTCATGGTGGGGATCACACGAAGTAAAGTAATTCTTCACGTGTGCACATTTATTACATGTTGGAGCCCCCTGTCACCAGATGTTTATTCGTGGCAGCTTGTTGCTCCACATTCCGGCAATGATGGCATGTCCATATCGGTGAGATGTCGCCATAGTTTTGGCATGGGCTGAAATGAGCTCAAAGTGGGTTCTATGATAAATTTGTTGGCATTAAGTTAACAGTTTAAGTGTTTATTCCCCACCTGCCAGGTGAGGGTTGTTAGATTTTATCAGAGTTGTTCTTCTCCTCCTCCTTCTTCTCCTCCTCCTCGTTCTCCTCCACCACCTTTCTCTTCGCCAAATTCCGCACGCAGTGGCCACTGCTGGACCTCAACTGCAAGGGTCTGAGCGCACTGGGCACCGCTGGACCTCAACCTGGGATCTTCCGAGCTCAGTGAGCACCGCTGGACCTCAACCTGGGACCGTCCGAGCTCAGTGAGCACTGCTGGACCTCAACCTGGGACCCTCCGAGCTCAGTGAGCACCGCTGGACCTCAACCTGGGACCCTCCGAGCTCAGTGAGCACCGCTGGACTTCAACGGCCAGATAATAGAATGCCAGAAGATATGCCAGATAGAACGCCAGATAGAATGTCAGAAAGAATGCCAGAAGATATGCCAGATAAAGTGCCAGAATGTTTGCCAGATAGAATGCCAGAAGATATGCCAGATAGAATGCCAGAAGGTATGCCAGACAAAGTGCCAGAATGTTTGCCAGAACATATGCCAGAAGATTTGCCAGATAGAATGCCAGATAGAATGTCAGAAGATATACCAGAAGATGTGCCAGATAGAGTGCCAGAAGATATGCCAGAAGATATGCCAGATAGAATGCCAGCAGATATGCCAAATAAAATGCCAGAAGATATGTCAGATAGAATGCCAGAAGATTTGCCAGTAACAAAACGTATAGATGTCACGGTGGGGATAACTCGAAGTAAAGTAATTTACATGACATGTTTTTTCATGAACAAAATTGTTGTCTTTGGCTGGATTCAACACATGCTGGTGTTTTCATGGCATGAAACATGGTGGGACATCATCACCATTGCCACTCCACATATTTCCCCAGGTTATTCGGGAAATATCACCGTGTCGTGCTTCGCCGAGCTCACAGAGGAACAGACGTGCCTTGGCACTTCCAAGGGGGCCGGGGACCAAGGATCCAGGCAGTGAGGAGGCAGTGCAGCCATGACTACATGACTTCCGAGTAATTTGTTACACTTTGCGGCCTGGATTTTGTGGTTTGTCTTTGTACATCCTGACATGATTTACATGAAAAGATGGTGATAGTCCATAGGATCCATGTATGAAAAATGATCAGAGAGTACATGATGCACATCCAACTGGTATCCATGGCCATGCCTTGGTACTGTCCTGAACATTGAAACCTTGCAGCACCTTCAAAAATATCCGGAACCAAAGATGCTGCTGAAATTCATGCTCAAGTTGTCTCGAAGGGGTTGAACACGAGGCAAGATTAATTGTTGGTTCGTTTTGGTAGTTGGTAGCATGTGTTGCTATAGTGATTCACAGAGATTCTATCATCTGTGAGCTATAGCTGGATGTGCATCCCAGGGAGCGTACGAAGAGAACAATTAATAAGCATGTGGCATGTGTCAACCTATCTATATTGCAACACTTCCCAACCAAAAAATGGTCTTTGATGGTAACTGGAAATGATCTATAACTTGTAGGTTGTAACTAGTTAACAATAACTGGGTTGCAGCCCAAAGTGTGCAACCCACAAATATGTAAAACACAACCATTCCCAAATGTTCCATGTATGGTACATTTACCAACATTTACCCTAAAAATAATCCAGTCATGTAGGTAAATATTCCATACGTGGATCATATGGGATTGCTCAGAGACGGTCAGCCACGGCAGGCAAAAAATGGTTCGGGCCATCGAGGAACATCTTCCGGATGTGCGCGTGGCGGGGAACGAGGAGATCACCTGTCCGGTCTGTCTCTGGGACGTCCGGTGGTGTCCAACGTGGGAAATTGCGCAGAAATCCTGGGAAAATCATGTGAAAAATGGGCAAACCGACTATGAATGGGGGTTCAATGGAAAAGTCATGGAAGTAAATGGATGATTTTCTAGCAAGCATGTTTGGTTGCTTGTTGGTCTCCAACCCCAATAAGAACTGACGACATAAGATTTAGGCATAGTCAAGTATGTATAGATATTGTAAACGCATGTAAACGCTTTGGTGTTTGTTGAACATGAACCCAATTGACTATAATACTACAGATACATCTACCATAAGCCAAATTTGACTTATTAGTTTAAAAAAACAATGTGGGTATCCAATAGGGCCATCTTGAACCTTTCCTATGCAGGACCTTGAGGTAGCAAGATTGCACCCACAAAAGTGATCATACAACGGTTATTGGGTTTGACTGGCGGCATTTGAGGGTTAACCAGCAAAAATAGAGAGAGAAAGCGTCTTGGATTCAAGCGTAGCTGGCTGGAATTGTTCATGCTTTAAGGCTTAAAGATGATGTTCCGATCAACGATGTGATCGATCGATGTAAAGGTGCTTGTATATATTTAATAAAGAGTTTTAATTGTGAAGACTGTACATGTTATGCTGGGAACCCTCGCGAATCCCTCGCGAAAGGTTTTTTCGATTTCTCGAAAGTATCCTGTTTGTTCGCGAAAGTTTCACGAATGTTGGATATGATAAATCATGTTTGCTTACATATATAAAGGGCTAACACCCCCTGCCCGGGGCTCTGGCAGGAGAAGGGTACCGGAGAATTTCGGTTTGGCGCTGCTTCAGTTCATTGTGTGGTCCTGTACTCCAGACATTTACCTTTCCAGATAGAACGAGTCATCTGTGTTAACGTGTGTCGATGGGACTCGGCCATGTGCAATTTGGGGCAATTACGCGCAACAAGCTACCAAAAAGTTTCAGGCTCCAAACCCACAACGACACAACCCCCACCCAGGATACACATGAAACACGTACCCTGTCTAACAGTGGAGCAAGCAGCAGTTTTCACCATGTTTCACCCACATCATCCTAGTTGATTGAACTTTTTTGCAAAGTTTTTGGGCGATAAATTTTGGCACATGTCTCCAATACAAGCTGGTGCCCAACAGATTATGTTTGTTGCTGTTTAAACCCCATTGAGTATACATGTTTATATGTTATATCATACATATATATATATATATATGTATATATATATATGTATAATGTGCCAAAAATCCATATTGTATTTAATCTACTTGTCAACCAACTTAGCTATTTAGGGAGGCCCCCGACTTGTTTGGATGATCATGCCTGGTAGCATTTTTTTTATCTGAAAATGGCTGGCCTTCACTGCTTGGGGCGGTTTGGTGCCCATGCCGTGTCGCCGAAACAACCTAAGGCTTGGATGAAATTGGACGTGAGGACGTGGCCAAATTACTGCCTTGCAAGCACTACTACCACAGTGTCAGCACGGCTGCCGTTGGGAGCGGTGGAGTTACATAGTCTTGCAATATGTGGCAAAGCGAATGACAAACCATCCCAGTAGCCAGCCAGCCATTTGGTATTCCAAAGTTCGGGGCGCACCCAGTGTCATGAACCGTTTTGTTTTTTTACTTGTTATTTTTTTTGGGTTCACCTCAGTACATACATATCTAATCCCATCCCCCTAATATTAAACACCTCCGTTCCACTGTCACATTTATGTGATCTCATCCCCTACTATAAACCATGGTTTCTGGGGAGTGTTCAATATCAGGCGGATTGGGTAAAATACTGGTTTGTGATTTGGAACATTTTTAATTTTTCCATATATTGGGAATAATACTCCAATTTGACTAATATGTTTCAGAAGGGTTGAAACCACCAACCAGATAAAATAGATACTCAACTCTACTCTGGGTGCTCTCATGTGGTTCACCCGTAGTCCCACTTCGCAACTGCGGGTGATCCGAAAATCCTCACATTCCAAAACAGAGGTTACGTTGTGCTAGAGCTGCTGAACGTAAGACCTTGTAGAACATGGTTGGCTTTGGTAGGTTCCCACGAATTGTAAAACGTAATTGCTGCGACTTGAACATTGCAGGCTGTCTTAGGATCACATATTGTTTGGTGATGTCCATTCACAGAGAATCTCCCCACCACGAACGGGCATTTCCCCTTAGATTGGGCTTCAAACAGTCATTTGTTCCATCAATTTCTGTTCCATTCATTTCCAAACCTTTTTTACATGGCGCCCCACTTCATGAATATAGATCCAGTACTAGTTGGCTGCATCACCAGACTTCTCTCCCGCCGGAACTGAGCAATGCCTACTGGCTTGGTGCACCAAACGGCTCCAGAAGGCGCCGAACACGGAAATCCAGCACTTTCCAGATCATCTGTGTTCAACACCTTTAAGATAGATCATACTTTATATACTATATATACTTTGGAGTTTCAATAGTTTTCAAGGCGGTTGAAGCCATTGAACAGAGAATGTCTTCCAGTCTGTTGTGGATCCAATTCCGTGTTTGCTGCTCTCGAAATATTGCAAGTGACACACACATATATCCTATGCCTATTTATATATATATGTGTGTGTTCTACACAGTTGCGTGTGTGTGTGTGCGTGCGTGTGTGGTATGTTTAAGTTTTATCCCTGTGTACATTTCCACTATGAAATGGTTTGACCCATGTTCCATTCCAGGGGCATTTTTCTAACAAAAGGAGGCATTTTGTAAGGACATTTTTCTGGTCAACCATGCCATTTTGTAAAAAGCGTGTTTTTTGCTGGGCGAATCATTTTGTAAGAGCCAACTTTCTTTACAAAATGAACTCGGGGCCAATCATTTCATAACGCAATTTTGGGTTCATTTCAGGCAGTGCACAGAAGGGTATTGAAATCTTGTCCATGTTCAGGAACCAGGGTTTCTTCTCTAATTTTTTTGGGTTCCACCATTGATGTGTGAAGAACCGGCAAGACACCACTAAGTCAACCAACCAGAAAAGGTGATATCAAACATTCTGGGATTTTTTCCAAACTTTGGGGACTGGGAAAAAATTGCGGGGTTCCCTGGGGAAAGTTGGGCTTGTACAAGTAAGACATGTTTCCAAACAAACCATTTTTTAAGACACAAGCTTATAAGATGATTGGGTTTGGGGCCTGGAAATTAACTTGGGGCAACCATTTTGTAAGGAGCCGATTTTTGATTTTTTTGGGGGTTCACCGGTGTTTGCTGGGGAATCACACCAACTGGTGTCCAGCCCATTTTGTAAATACCTAACCATGGATGTTTGTAAGGTTAACTCCTGGGTCCCTTACAAAATGGTTGCCTTGGGTCAGGTGGGTAAATGTGCAGGGGGATTAAGTTTTAAGTTTCATTCTTTGGTTGTTGTTTGTTGTGTTCTTGGCATCCGTTGTGTTCAGTACATGATTTTTCGAGATAAACTCTAGCAATCTCAATTGAACTTCAACGAAATGATGCATTCCTTTTCCGAATGTCTAGGGTGGTAACGGGTAGGTGCAGATGGTTTTTTTTTGCAAATTGAAGTGCCCTGGCGCACAATATTTCCCGGCCATTGGCTCAATTTCAAGACGCCCAACACATGTTCCAGGACCATGACAAGATCTGCTGCTGTTATCGCTGCCTCGATCCTTTTTGCGGCCATGGAGGCGGCGGCGAACTGGTGGATCGAAGTGACCCCAGCCAGCACGGCACCCGCAGGGCGCATGTATCACGCGGCGGTGTGGGCACCTGGGGCTGACGGCATCTACGTTTCCGCAGGGAAGGACCGCAGATTGATGGACGATCTGCATTTCTACGACCGCACTCGCGAGGAGCACACAGCGGTATGGGCACCTGAGGCCGACGGTTTCTACGTTTTTGGTGGCCAAAGCAATGGCTACAGGAATGAGCTGCATTTTTACGACCGCCAGGCCAACCAGTGGACCGAAGTGACTGCAGCCGGCACAGCGCCCGCAGGGCGCATGTATCACGCGGCGGTGTGGGCACCTGGGGCTGACGGCTTCTACGTTTTCGCAGGGAAGGACCGCAGATTGATGGACGATCTGCATTTCTACGACCGTAAGGCCAACCAGTGGAGCGATGTGACTCCAGCCGGCACGGCACCCGGCTCTCGCGAGGGGCACACAGCGGTATGGGCACCTGAGGCCTGAGGCCGACGGTTTCTACGTCTTTGGTGGGCTAAGCGGTGGCTACAGGAACGAGCTCCATTTCTTTGACCGGCAGTTCACAACGTCAACTGCAATGCCCAGGACAATGACCTCCATGACAACGACCAAAACGTCGAGGACGATGACCACTGGGACCACCACCTCCAGGACAATGACTGCTGGGACAGCAAGGAGTCTGATTTTCAACTATTGGTGCCACGAGCTTGTTGCTGCTTTTTTGCCAGATCTAGTGCATGGTCAAGCTTTCGTCCTGGTTGGAGGCACTCTTTGCGCTCAAGGGGTGCGTCAGGAAACCATTGCTTGGCCTTGCGCAAACAGCATCTTTGTCCACTTGATGCCTCACGGACCTTCATTTATTTCACCATATCTTGTCGTTTCATTCAGGCTATGCTTAAGGCATGCCAAGACCACATGAAATCCAGCGTGGATCCTTTGAGGAATTGCTGAGAAAAATGTTGCGGGGGGCTTTGCTTGCATCGGGCTTCCGCAAAACGTATTGAGATGAACCCTGAAACTGGGATCGGTGACCAGGAGCTTCATATGGCGCATGGATGCACAAAAATAACGTCCCTTTTGATGAGGTTACCACCAAATTTGCAGGCATCAAGTTTAGCGACTGATGTTTGCATTGGTCTGTTCGACCTTTCCTTGTGCATGTGTGAGCACAAGAAATCCTCTGTTCCCTGAAAAGTTTCCCAAGCTATTAGATTTCACGAGCTCCTGGGATTTTGAGATTTTTAGGGAATATTGGATATCAAGGTCAAGATGCAATATTTGGTGCAGTGTACGCACACAAGGGTGGCACCAAAAAACTTAAGCGTCATGGTTCGCACGGGTTTGCACTGGATCAGCCTTCCATAAATGGAATTGGTCCAATTAATCGTTCAAAAAAAATGAAACGGTCGGAAACGGTCGGAAACGGTCGGAAACAGTCGGAAACGGTCGGAAACGGTCGGAAACATGATCAGGCCAAAACTTGTCCAACCCGCATTTTTTTTGAAATAGGCATTTCCGCGCAACGCCGTTTTTTTTTGAATGTCTAAAGGTGTCCAAGGGGAAACGGTTGGAAACAGTCGGGGATCGCACCTTCGACCGGCAAAAAAGACATGTTTCTACACAGTTTTCAAACATTGTTCAGAAACATACGCTATTATGGTATCCCAAGCCATGAGGGGGTTGCGTGTATGACCCACCCGTTATTTCGTTCAATATGGGTTTGAAGATACATTTGAATCCGCAGGTGAAATTTAATATTATACAAATGAGGGTATGCATATGCGAGCCAATCTTTTTCCAACTCCAGACCATTTTGTGCCACCTCCCTTTCTGCAGCTCAACACCTTGGTGTTACCACGTCCCAGGAGGGTGCAAAATCTTCAGAGATGTCGCATAGCTCAAAACATGCAGGCAATTGGTGCTGCAAAAGTTTAGGGGATATCTATTTAGTGGCTGTATATTAGGGGTTGCCTCTAACACTAACTTGGGTACTCTCTTCATAGGCTGTACCCCAGGTAGTGCACATGTACCTAGTACATTTAAAATACCCCTTAGGTATTGCTCAAAACACCCCTTAGATGTCGCTAAAAAAAACCCTTAGTATGTCCAAAAACACCCCTCATTGTGTCCCAAAAACACCCCTTAGATGTTGCTAAAAACACCCCTTAGGTGTCGCTAAAAACACCCCTTAGTATGTCCAAAAACACCCCTCATTGTGTCCCAAAAACATTCCTTAGATGTCGCTAAAAACACCCCTTAGTATGTCCAAAAACAACCCTTATTGTGTCCCAAAAACACCCCTTAGATGTTGCTAAAAACACCCCTTATATGTCGCTAAAAACACCCCTTAGTATGTCCAAAAACATTCCTCAGATGTTTTCTAAAAACACCCCCATGTTGTCAGGAACAAATTGTTTTTAACTCAAAGAGTTGCCGCTTAGGGTCTCAAACAAAGCTGTTTTCATTCACTGTGTTTGATCTAAATCAATGTGAGTTTTAAGCAAAAAACACCCCTTAGCTAAGGGGTGTTTTTGGGCAATTTTGGGACCCCAAAGTACACCAAAACCGATTCCTGAAGACATCAGAATTGACAATGTATGTCACAATCCAAGATAGGAATCAAAGATGTTTGACACATGATGATGTCAACAAACGAGAAAAGACTCAAGTTTTGATCAAAAAGGGATTGTTTGTACCTCAAGAACGAGCGATGTTTCTAACCACTTAAGGTGTGTTTTTACCTCAAAAAACACCACTTCACTAAGGGGTGTTTTTGACCACTTAAGGAGTGTTTTTACCTCCAAAACACCCCTTGGCGAAGGGGTGCTTTTGACCACTTAAGGGGTGTTTTTACCTCAAAAACACCCCTTAGCTAAGGGGTGCTTTTGACCACTTAAGGGGTGTTTTTACCGCAAAAACACACCTTAGCTAAGGGCTGTTTTTGACCACTTAAGGTGTGTTTTTATATCAAAAACATCCCTTAGCTATGACCACTTAAGAGGTGTTTTTACCACCGCTAAGGGGTTAGTATACCACTACTAAGCGGTTACTATATACCTCGCTAAGGGGTGTTTTTAGGTATAAAGAGTTAGTGTTACAGGAAACCCCTAAGCTATATATGTTGTTTATCAAAAATCACGCATTTAATACACAGTATGTTTTTCCTCTAAATAGTTTTATGATTTCTGTATTATATATATATATATATTTATATTTATATTCTATTGTACTGTGTATGTCTTACACACACATATATATATATTATTAATATATATATATATATATATCTATCTATCTATTTACATTACACATTACATTACATTACGCTACAATACAGTACATTGCAATACAAGGCAATGAAATCACAATACAATTACAGCTATTATTGCAATTACAAATGCAATACAATAGAAACCATGCCATGCCATACCTTACCATACCATACACACATTCATGCATATATGTATATCATATATACCCTAGGATTCCAACCACCTGTGAAACAAAGGGGTTTAGTAGAACCCCCTTGTTTTGTTAGGCCCAAAATACTATTCTAGCGAGTGGTTCATTTTCTTGTGTGCTCACCCGTTTTGCTTTGGTCGAGTAAATGCCATTTTTCAAACTGGTAGAGCCGAAGTGATTCACAGGGGAGCAAAAAACAAAGAGAAGATTCAAGACTCCACTTGCTCTTTCACGGGCGGATAAAGAGCGAATGTCGAAAAGTAAGCGTGAAAGCAGCAAAGACTTCAGAAAACATTCAAATATTTGATTGAACAGCAACTTGAGAGTTCTGAAAGCATGCAAACTACTAACAGGAGCACCCCCCTTTGAAAAATCCGTTGCTTCCAGACACAGGCATGTAGGCATCATCAATTTATTCTGTTGTGGATTTGGATGGTGGGAATGGAATGTCAACACGCTCTAGTTGGAAGTACTGATTAGATGCAAGATTTGCACTGTATAAACAAAGCTATTAACAACAAGTTTGGACCTTGCAATGTTGCGAAACATGCCGCAACGCACTGTGCCCCAGATTCTGTCACATGCGAGCACCATATGCAAATATGTTCTTTTACAATTGCCACATCTTCTCGCTTACTCTGTGCATTTTGCTTTGCCCGAGGGTACTGTACTGAGACAGGAGTGGAGACCTGCGACCTCTTTAGCAATGACACTGTGCTCCAAACAATATTTGACCTGCTGTATTTCATGTGAATGTGTCAATTCTAAGCTTCATTTGGCTCAGAACTTGCAATAAATTTGCTGTCACAAACAAACTTGGCCAAACATATCCTTATATACAAGGTCAGCCAATCATGTGTGTGTAGCATCTAAATAGATGTAAAACTTCTTCCTTTTTTCTTATTTCTTTCTTCTCCCCTTCTAATAGCGCAGGGGGACTGGAGCCGATTTGCCTATCCAGTCCAGCGAAGCTATGGCATTTCGGTGGATGAGTGGTCTGATCAACCACTTGTACCTGCAAAATTTTTGATTTTTTCGGAAAACCTTCATCGTTCTCGCGAAGTACAACCAGGAGATCTACTTTAGGTCTAATTGTCTAGGCTGGTTGCACGTTACAGGACTCAGTTCCTGATGGATCTCTTCAAAGATCCAATTTTGTCTATAGTGTAATATCCATGGTGACTCCGACATGGTGCCATGGAGCCACTTGAGGCAACTCCTTTGCGGGTGACTGTGGACGAACCTGACATCGGAATTGACACTTTAAATTAGTAATTTGTTTAAGTAAAGCGAAACAGTTGGCCTTTCGGTTATGCACCTTTTTGCGAAGTCCCGCTGGTCCGGTTGTCCCTTGAGATCCTTCTGAACCTGCACCTTCGCCGAAGTGAGATTGCTCGGAACTGCAGAAACTGTTTCTTTTCCATTTGCGCAGCTTTTGAAGTGACATTTGAACAGCAAAGGCAGGCACATGCTTTCCAGGTGTGGTCTTTCTTTCTTTTGATGGTTTCCGGTGAGGTTGAGCATATCGTGCACCCAATTCGTTGGAACTTGAACAGCTGTTTATGCCATTGCGGCACGACTTGACCACGGTCCCGAAGGGGAATAACGCACGACCTCTAGTGTAGGCGGAACTGGGCCCTTGTTTAGGTTAATTGTTTTGGTTGTTTCACACTCGTCACCAACTAGTCCCCCATTTGGTCCCTAATTCTCTCCCCCCGTGCCTGTCCGTAATGTGTCGTGGGGTTTAGATGTGTGCTCTGTTTCTGTCAGGTCCGTTTCGCCGCGTAGGTTGGTTCTGCAGGTCCATTCGTTCCCTTTCCCCCCCTGCGCTGTTTTGGCCTTTTGCCCGTCGTCTGTGTCCGGTTTTTTTCTTCCTCTTGCCTTTCAGGGTTGTCCCGGCTCCGGCCGGGTGTGTGTGTGTGTGTAACATCTAAATAGATGTAAAACTTCTTCCTTTTTTCTCATTTCTTTCTTCTCCCCTTCTAATATTGCAGGGGGACTGGAGCCGATTTGCCTATCCAGTCCAGCGAAGCTATGGCATTTCGGTGGATGAGTGGCCTGATCAACCACTTGTACCTGCAAAATTTTTGATTTTTTTTTCGGAAAACCCTCATCGTTCTCGCGAAGTACAACCACGAGATCTACTGTAGGAATTGTCTAGGCTGGTTGCACGTTACAGGACTCAGTTTCTGATGGATCTCTTCAAAGATCCAATTTTGTCTAGTGTGTGTGATTTGTTGAATTTGTTCTGTCTTCCCTCTCCCCCTCTCTGTGAGCCATATTTCAAACAATATTAATATAAACAGTGGCAAGAAGAGCAAAACAAACAAATCAGAGCATCAGGCAAACAATTTGCCCATTCGTCGAATGTTTCTTCGCATCCCAACACCCATTCAATAAATGAAACAATGCAACGCGGCGGTTGGCTAGTTCAGAGATGATGTGATATGTTTTGTC